TCCTTACTACGCAGAGTTAAATCCCATTGAACTGATCTGGTCAGGGCCGACAAGAGGGGGGGGGGTAGCCGGGACTAATTCCAGGAGCCCGGGATCAAGTGGGGGCCCGGCAGCTTTGGGTGAGGACGGTTTTTATTTTTGTAGGAGGTACTTTTTTTATTTTTTAGAAATTTCACTAAAGAGGAGAACTTTTTGCTTAAAGACTTTTTTTAGAAATGTGATATTGAAAGGGCCTAATTTTTGCATAAAATTATCGCGGGGTCCGACCTAGAAAATTGTCTCGGGGCCCAACCTGGCTCTCGGCGCCGACGGCCCTGGATCTGGTTACAAATAAAAGGTTATGTTTCTCGAAACAATACAACATTTAAATTACCTGATGTGCAAAATTTGTTTTTGAAGGCATTTTCAGATGTAAATGGAGAACATTGAAGAAAATGGCATTGATCATGTTAAAAAGGTATAAAATTCATTTTGAAAAGTAGATATAGGTAGCAATGGAAAACTTAATAGACGCTATAACAATAAACCCCAGAAAAGACAATGTTAATGATACAAGTAGTTATAGTGAAGACAGTGACTTTTAAATATAGTTCTTCAACTTTTTATTTTTTTTATTTTTGATTTTATGTAGGTACTGAAGTGTTACTTTTAATGACAAGAGATCAAAAAAAGTTTAATTCCATTAACAGCATATAATTGTCCTTGTTATTTATTGGTTACATTTTATTAGTTCAATGTCAAAGTGCAATAATTTTGTCAAAAGCATTAGGTTTATTTTTATTTTTTGTAAATAATATAACTTTGTTCATTCAAAATATAATCTACGAAGTGCGTATATACCATTTTATATGCTGTGACCTTATTTATATTAGAGAAACTTATTTTGCCAATTACGCCTATGGAATGTGATGTTATATCCCTACTTTTATTGCACTTATCTTTTATTCAGACTATAATTTGTATCATTTTCATCGTGTACCAATCAAAAGAATCCTTCCCTTCTTGTCTTTCAAATTTGACAGGATTTGTTTTATAATAATTTTTTACTATATTAGTGGTCCTTTTTTTAATTCAAAATTATTTTTACAGTATTAATTTTAATTTGGTTAAATTAATTTAATTACAGTATATCTACATGGTTGCCCAAAGTCTAAATTATTTACATAATATAAAGAAAGGCGCTTAAATCTTCTATCTTCTGCAGATAAATGTAGAATGTAGAATATATTATAAAACAGTAGTTCAATAGATTTACCAGAAATGTCAGTTGAACTGGAAATGCAGGACTCACCAAACAGATGAACTCTGCAGAAGACTGCAAGATTTGGCCTGTTGTCGAAAAACTATGATAGGTTATAAAATATCCAGATATCCCAATAAATCTTGAGGATATATGAACAAACAAGTTCGTAGAGCGAATGGAACAGGAAAAAATATACAGAAGAAGCGATGAAAGGGGCACAAGGTCATAATGTGAGGAAAGAGGAAGATGTAGAAACTGGTACCAGGTTGCTCTAGAGAAAAGGTCAATCAATATCTAGGAGGAAAAGAGGAAGAATAGTCGTTAGATGCCAAATCGGAAAAATACAATAGGTCTAGCATTATTCTAACAATTTTGTTTTTTTGAGTCTCTTCAGAAGAAATACATAATTTTTTTCATCAAAATAATTCTCAAAAAGATTCAAAATATCAACAGAAGTTTGAATCTATTGTAGCAATTATTTATTAACAAAAAACCGACAACACATTTTTGAATTCGTTTTAATGGAAAAGCTCTATGGAGCATAACATGGTGGCACTGAATTTAGTCCTGATCATCACAATGATGTAATAGGTACCATCATAATGTTAAAAATAAATTTAGTATTGATGCAGAAAATACTCGACTTCGACATTTGAGCTTAAGCTACAAAGTTTTAATAATAGTTTTAAACCATTTTAAGAAATATTTTCTCTTTTGTTTCACAATTTTATAGTACACAGGGTGTAATTCTAATTCATTGGCACTTTAAAGTAATTATATTTTTAAAGTTTACCAAAAAAGAACACGTCACTGATATTTTCTAATTCATCTGAGTCTAAATCTGACTCGGTATGTCAATATTCTCAGTATAATTGAATAATAAGATTTAACGCACACAGAAAAAAGTGAAATTCTCCCACATTTGAGTTAATGTTACTTTATATCATCGATGGGTGTCAATTGGCCGTCACCTACGACTAGGATTACCATCTGGCCGGATAAATCCGGTCTCGACCGCATTTTAAGGGTGCAGCCCGGATTTGAACCAAGACTGGATTTTTGACAAGTCACTCAATAAATTACAAAATTACTGATGATTTGTGAGTATTTTTTTTGTATTGTATTATGCCACACAATACAAATGTTGAATGAATTTATTTCTTATTTATGAATTCGCAGTGGACGAAACAAAGGAACAGATTAAAAGTTGAGTTAATACAAGCAATATTACTCATACAATATAATTACCAAATTTACAAACACATGACATGTGTCGAATTTCATTGTGAAATTTCTTTAAAAACAAATTTTTTGAAAGCTGTTGAATGTGGGCAAAAATATAGTTTACAAAAAAATGAATTAAAGTAAATAAAAACTATTAAGTTTTATTTTGCCAAAAGACCGGACTTTTTTCCAAAAATCAGGATTTTTATTGCTTGAAACCGGTTTAGCGATTTCAGTCTCTGGTAACCCTACCTACGACACTGCATTTGGGAATTTTCTCTTAATTCTGTAAAAGATTCCTTCGTTCAACTAGTTGCAACATTGTAATCGCTTTTTAGATCTTTCGAGTGAACACATAAACAAATCCTCTGCCTCTCCAGAAGTTCCCATAGCAGTTTTAAGTGTCTCAGATACAAGGACTGTCCGAAAACTATATTAAAAGATTTTTTAAATCATAAGTGTATACTTCATCATCGATTACCTTTTTTTTAATGCAACATTACATTTCCCTTTATTTAATGTAAGTTGTGTACTTTGCAGGGAGAGCAGGCATTGATAGCTATTCAAGTCGTAGTGAATTCGATATTCAAAAGTAAAAATGTACACAAGAGGTTATTATTAGAGCGATAATTGAAGTATGTTCTAGGAGCTACTAAAATAAAAGTAATGGCTCTTAGGCCCTATTGAATGGAGTGATTCACAACAAATAATGTTTCTAAAGTAGGCATTAAAAAAATTCACGCATGTTGGAGAGTATAATTCTTCTACATTTTTCTGTCAGTCTTTGCCTTCTTTATCTGTATCTATAACAAGTGTAGGGTGGATTGGCCCACGGCACTTAGCTCTTATTAGACCCATTGTGCATCATCCTAAACTGATAGGTCCCTCTTAACTCGTCAGCCAGCCTACAGATTTGATGTAGTTGACAACATCGCCGAGAGGTGCACAAATCTTCGCACCCCCTGCAGAGTAGGGACTCTGTCAGCCCCATACGATGGAGATGCTTCCGTACTTGGTAATGACCAGTCAGAATACCTGTGATCAGGCACAGATTTTGTTTAGTTATAGTCAGGTATTTTTTGCTGTGGTGTTGTCGGGATAACTTAAAGGCTCCCTGGCAACTCTACAGCTTCTTGTTTCATCCCATCTTTCCGTGAATATTACAAGAATTTTTTTTTTAATTAAGTTTGTCCCTACCGATGTTGTCAGTCTAATGATATTGTCCTGTGAGCTCAGTTTAAACTACACTGGTACTACAGTCTGAATAAAAGAGCAGTGCAGTAAAAGTGAGGATATTCCATAGGCGTACTTTTCAAAATAATTTTCTAGAATATAAATAAGATCCCGTCACATAAAATGGTATATACGCACTTCGTAGATTAAATTTTGAATGAAAAAAGTTATATTATTTACAAAAAATTAAAATAAACCTTATGGTTTTGACAAAATTGTTGTACTTTAACATTGAACGAATTAAATTTAACCAATAAATAACAAGGAGGATTATATGTTGATAACGGAATTAAACTTTTTTTCTCCTGGTATTAAAAGAAACACTTCAGTACCTAAAATCAAAGATTATAAAAAAATAAAAAGTTCAAGAACTATCTTTAAAAGTCATTATCTTTACTATAATTACTGGTATCATTATCATTATTTTTTCTGAGGTTTTTTATTATTATAGGGTTCATTAAGTTTTCCATTGCTATATCCACTTTCCAAAATTAATTTTCCACCTTTTTAACATGATCAATGCATTTTCTCCAATATTGTCAATTTACATCTGAAACTGCCTTTAAAAACAAATTTCGCACATCAGGTAATTTAAATGTTATATTGTTTCTCGAAACAATACCTTTTAATTGTAACCCGATCAGTTTAATAGGATTTAACCCTGCGTGGTAAGCATGCAATTTGAGAATTGCAATTCCTTTTTCTCGGGCCATCTCGTCTATAATATATTTGTTGAATATGCTTTCATGTTGCCTTGCTATTACAAGTAATTCTGCCTTCAATGATTTAGGAGGACTGATAATATTTTAGAATGAAGCTATTTTGAAATATCTTTTTTTTTCATCTTGTTGTAGGTAGTGACTCCTTTAATCAACTGTGCTAGGATGCATTATCCAAAAAAATAACAGGGTTGGCTGAATTTTTTTTTTATAATGTTCTGAAACTTATTTTCAAACAGAGGGCCATCCATTTATTCATGATAGTCTTTCTTACAATGTGGGTTATTATTAAACGATTTCCCTATCCTGCTGGATTTTTTAATCCACAAGAAACCCCTTCCATAAAGGCTTGTTTTTTAGTTTTGATGGTGGTATCTTGCCAAATTTTTGTTACGGTATGTCCAGCATTAACCCATGTTTCATCTAAATAAAATACCTTACCTATTTTTCTTCCTCTTCAATTTTTGTTGGCAATTTCATTGGTTAAAATTAAACCGCTTTATTTAAGCGTTATACAACCTCCCTCGTAACTATAACACTCTTGAGCTAATTAAACATAACGAAAACCAGCCTCAACTTACCTATCATCAGCAGTGAGACGGTTAGGTGATCTCTACCGGAAGGTCTCATGGCACCCAGGGCCGTACCGACTAAAACGCAGCAAACGGCCACTAAAGCAATAAGGGCTATGAACCACCGCAGTGAGCCTGGTTTCCATGTGAGGATTCCACAACATCCTTTTGGCGGGTCTTCTGAGAATCTGCCCCTGAAACAATATAAAAACAGATTAAAATAATGATTAGAGTAAAAGACAGGTGTGCTGTATTTGTTTCGTGGAAATATATATAACACAGAATATTGAAAGTCATATGTTGATTGAAATTTTCTTATAAGACTAATGAACGTATATTATTTCTAAATAATTATTGATAGGCCATTATCAAAGCAGCTGTTAGTGAAATCCAAGAAACTTGTTTCTTTTAGCGTCAAATATTTTGATCAATAGCAAATTCACTAAACAAAAAATAATGAATTAGTTACCTATTGTTTTTTATGAAGCGAAATAAAATTTGATTAATTCAAGGTTTGTTATTAATATTGGAAAAAATCTATGATTTTGAAATTTTGTAGGTTTTTGGTGTAGTGCTGCAGCGCACATGTAATTATTCTTTTATAACTTCTCATTGACTTCGAAGGCAATGGCTAGAAGAAATATGAACATTTTGAATCAACCAGCAGAAGGTAACACATTGCTATACGCAATGAATAATTTAATGCTTTCTTTACAAGATTTGGACAAACCATTTAAACTAGAGATTCTGGACTAGGGTTGGGTTCTTTAAGTCCTAAATCTGTATAGTTCTAAAAAATGAAAGCGTTTCATGTGTGTTTCGTCTTTTAAACTGAATAAGGATAGAAAATTTGGACTCTAATGGTTCCAGGATAAGAGATGTTTAATCAATCAACTGTCTCAACAATCCTAAAGAACGACTTTGGTTTGTGTAGACACTCTAACAATCTTGTACTTGTAAAACGTTGTAGAAATAAATAGGTTTATCAGCAGGAGAACTGGGAGAATCTGGACTTCTGTATAAGTTAAGATTGTCATAGCACTGTAATAACCGAATAAGTTGTTTAATTTAAAAATATATTTATACAAATGTCATACCTATTAAAAATTGTGAATTTAATATATCGTATATCGCAAATCGAAATCCGAAAGGTCAGAATTATCTGAAATAAGTTGTAGAATAATTTGAAAAATCTGAAACAAAACTCAAAAATCCCCCTACGAATTATTAAGACCATCCTCGGACCTCAAAGTTAAAAAAAGCCTGTCAGTGCAAGGATTCGAACCCAGACATCTTTGTTCTGTACACAAATGCCCTAACCACTGGACCATCGCAACATTGACTGTCGATATTCTTTAGACTATACTTATATTCATTTAAAAGCAAGTTTATGTGTCAGAGACTGCTGGGCTTCGAATCCCAGACCAGACCATGTGGATTTTTAATTAAATTGTATGGTTCGGTATAGGATTTGATGTGTGCCGTATTAATAGAAATTCAATTTCTGTTGATATGACATGCAGATAAAAAAAATCGCCATACATTACCATCTCGGTGATGGTGGGTGAGGTTTTCCGGGTTTTCCTCACCTGTAAGTCAAATGGCACCATCAATCATCTTTAAGTCGCCCCGGAGCGCCACGACAAATAATAATAATAGCCGTCCCTTTCCCCGCACAAGCTCAGCTTTTGGGGTTAAAATTCACTCGTAAGGGGGTGAATTAGGGAGAATATTATTATTAATTATTATTATACCATGATTTAAAAAATTTCAGAGGTAAGACACAGCCGACGAAATCTCGTTGGGTTCGCGCATGACGTAGTGTGCTGTGGAATATGGAAATGAGTAGATTCAAATTTATTTTCAAGCGCTGTTTTCGTTCAGTTGACACTCCAATTTCGTAAAAGCCATGCCTACCCACTACAATACTTCACCGTGATGTAATATCCAATCTGCGTAAGATCATACCTTCGTTTTATAGTATCATGGACTTCTACTACCACTAGCAAATAATGTATTATCCGCATAAAGTACCAGCTTAGTATTAGTCAAGAAAATGAGTGGAATTATCTCATCGCATCCCATCGCGATCTATTGTGTCTCATTAACTTATAGTTCACCGTACAAGCTACATCTTTTGATGAAGGCTATAGTTGTATTGGGTGAGACTTGTTTAAAGTAGGTAGGCTCCAATTGGGTGAATCCGAAGATCTGGAACCTGGTTCTTTCCAAATCGGAGCAGGTACATAAAATGTGCTCTGCAGATTCGTCTTCCACGCTGCAGAATCGACAGTCTGATGTTGCAGACCTATCCTTCTCATGTGGTTACCCAGACGACAGTGTCCTGTCATTATCAGTCCCGTGAAAATGCGTAGATTATTAGGCAAGAACTTAGATGGGCCATTTATAAAAAAAAAATGAAATAGAGTAGGCACCAGAATAGAACCTTTAGGAACTCTATAATACAGGGTGTTACCAAACCCTTTGCCAATCTATTACAGAAGCGTTGGGAGATCGAAAAAAAAAACAGAAACCTAAATATAATTTTTCTTAAATGTCAAAAATAAAAAAAAATTAAGTGGTACAAATTGTACTGTCTTAAAATACGAAATTTAGCAAATGCGATAACTTGAACTCGTTGGAATTTGTGTTATTTCAAAACATTTTTTTTGTTATTTTGGACTTTTGAGAAAAATTGTATTAAGGTTTTTGGTTTCTCTCGACCTCCCCAATATTTCTGTGAAATATTGGCAAGGGGTTTGGTAGCCCTGTATATTGGCTTAAAAGAACATGCTATACCCTCCATAAATTGGATTATTTTTAAGAGAAATTTATTACCTTATAAGGGAATCCGAATATATTTTATTGGTTGAGTTTTCTGATAATAAATTGTAATCGACAGAATCAAAGGCTTTGCTCGGATGAGGGATGAGGATGTCTTAGATTTAAAAAAAAAATTAATAATTCAATATTTTATCTTCAACCGAAAATTTTCGAAGAGCAATTTCCCATATAATTTTAATTTGGCTTTTATATTGTAGATACAACTCTGTTTAAATTACTAGGTACAAAACTTTTATATTATAGCGCTAATTTCGCTTTTACGTTCATAAACAACGAAATAAAGCGAAAAGAAGCACAAAATTGAATTATGCATTGTATATCACAACATTCCTTTGCTTTGCTCTCTCACTTAACTGCCTCAATGGCCAGAGGGATTTGTTTTTTCTAATGTTACATTTCGCTACGCTTGAATGTAAAGCTAAAATATTTACCAAGTTTTGTGAATGTAATGCAGATTTTATGGTTAAAAAAAAATGTAACTATGAATTGCATCGTTTATGAACAACCATTGAAAAACGAATAGATAATTAGATGTTTTATGTAGGTAGATTTGGTTATAAAATTATAGCCCTGAATATGGTATACAGTATGTTAGCTCAAAGGCTTAGACATCTAAATAGATTGACACTTCTATAAGATAAAAATAAAGAAATTATTGTCAATTATATTAAAATTATTTCCGAATTAATAGTTTTTTTGGCAGGTATTTACAAACAAATTTCTTAATACGGCCAAGGAAGTATGTGGAACAATAAAAAAATATTAAAAACAGACGAGTTGGTGGATTAGAATAAAAAAAGAAACTAGGATAAAGAAACAAAAGCAGAAAACATAGAAAAATATGACCAATACAAAGTACAGAGGAAAAATGTAAATGATTTTATGATAGTAGAAAAAAGAAATCTTGGAAAAAATTCGGAACAAAAATGAAAAAAAAAAAATATATTTTATGAAACATTGAAATATATGGAGAAGTGAAAAATATTGCAAGAAATGAAGCAAAAGGCAATACTGCTGACGGGTGCGTACGACGGAATAGAAAGATAAAGAATGTACTTTAAAAATGTATTATAATTCATTAATATAATAGTTAATACAAGTGAAGAGACCAAACAGCTAGAGTTAGAAGCAAACGAAACCCAAATAAATGGAAAGGAAAACTCGGGGAAGAAGCAAACTCAAAAATATGCTCAATCTTCATAGAACTTGAAAAAGTTTTTAATAGTATACGAAGAAAACAATAGAAGAAACTTTGAAGAAAAGAATAGTGTCCAATTTACTAATAAGAACAATAAGACACTTGACCATTCACTGTTGGGTACTAATTAACAGTGCTGTTCCTAAAGTGGCGCTCGGAAACAGTAACAAAGCCTACACAGAACACGAGGCTAATAACCGTAGCAGTTGATGCCGATGACACAAAAAAAAGGAACAATAAGAATGAACAGATAATATGGAGACACAATATTTTACAACTAATGCAAGGTGGAGAGAAGGAGGTGTACTGAGTACAACTTTCTTTATAGATGACAAAACAAAGGACACATACATAGAATCTACAAGTATTAGAAATTAAAATTTTTAAAAAACCGACTTCAAAAACGTGCAGATGCCGCCACCACATCTTAAACAAATTTATGTGGGACCATCCCAGAGGTATCCCCTTACTAACAAAAAAAGAATCGTATAAATCGGACAAGGTGGTAAAGCATTATCGCTAAACATACATAAAAAATGAAGAATTTGAAGATTTTCCAACGGACCCAATTATTATATTTTGACCAAATTTATATGGGACCACCCCTAAAGTACCCCCTTTCTAACAAAAAAAGAATTATTGAAATCGGACACCGTGTTGAAGAATTATCGCTGAACATACATTAAAAAAAAATATCGCGACAAATTGAGAACCTCCTCCTTTTTTGAAGTCGGTTAAAAACCAGTATATTTGCGTGAATGCATTTTCATTAAAGACTATTATTTGCAAAAAATTAAACAGGACTGATAATTAAAGGCTATAATTGTTAAAAACAACATTGATATAAGCAATAAGAAAATGGACACATACATAACAAAGGAATACAAGAAGTAGAAAATAACAAAATAATTAAGAACGGTTCGAAAGTGTATCATATCATCAAGAAGATCTTCATTGGAAAAAAGGAAATATAAATAAAGAAGGATCAGCGGGCTGGGAACCTACTAATAAAAAACCTAAAATGTAAAATACAGACCACTAACAAATTAAATTTCTAAGAAAAATATTGGGAGTTTAAAAAAAAAACTAGGAGTAGAACTAATATTGAAGAAAATAGAACAGCTAAGATGGTACGTAAATGTTCGTACCATC